ATACATATATGTATGTCAGGAACTTACTTTTGAGTAGTATATATAGTAATGTAAATATATGGGGGGGTTGGGTTAAGGATTCTTCTGCAGTAGCTGTCTATGACTTGTTGGTGATAAATTCAACAATAAACAAATGGTATACACTCCACTTGTTTTTAAAGTAATCAATGTAATTGAAACAAGTTAAACATATGTAAGAAATGCTTTATACTTTGGAGAATTCAGTTGACAAGGCAAACTATTTTTATCACAATGGTATCCATGTATAATTCACTTGCGTTGTTGTGTGAGTTACTACAGTGGTATCCTGAACTTCCAATAATCGTTTGCTTTTTGTCAAAGTCCACACAGGCAGGTTCAATTAGTTGAGAACACCCTTTGATGAGAAAAATTATTCTCCTTTTCTCTTTCAAACTGTTAATCTCACTCTAACATATCAACCATTAGGCCATTCACTCCCACGACGGTTAACTTAACGTTTTCTAACTTTCTTCTGGCGAACTTCTCTTTCATGTGACTTTACTTTTACTCTGTTTTGCTCATCTGGTTACAGCTGTTCATACATCTGTCACTTAGGCCTTCAAGAAATCTCCATTATGTATTTGATGTCAGAGTTAGTAACTATTCATCTTACCATTTGCTAATTTAGTGACAGTCTGTGGTAGAGGAGAGTGAATACTTAATACAATACACAAGGATACTGTAAAAAAAACAAAAAACCTGTAAATATACATTTTGGAGGTTCTAGTGGTTATGCATATGCAATACACAAACTGTACAATGGACAAAAGTATTTTTATTCTTCACATGAACCACGGCTTACATTCCAACCTGTCAGAGTGAGTTACACTGATATCATGAATTTACAGAGGTATCTTAAGTACAGATACTTTTGTAACACATCTGATTTTTTGTGTACATTTTACTAAAAGTTTGCCATACTTTGTGTAGATATAAGTAGTGAATTCGGAATTATAGTAAATATTACTTCTCCAATACAGAGTTGGTCCAATGGACTGATCTTGTGCACATTCGGCTAATCGACTTAATAATAATTTTTATTATTGATTACATTAGGTGACTCCAATTTAGACCATAATTTGTTACAAAGATTTGTATGGAGAAATAAATTGCCTCAACTAGAGATATGTGTGTGCAACCTTTCCAATTTATAAATGTATGACCACTATTATGTAGTGGAGTTGTTGTTTGGTTGGAGATATGTGTGCAACCTTTCCAATTTATAAATGTATGACCACTTTATTATGTAGTGGAGTTGTTGTTTGGTCTTTGCTGGATAAAGAATTTTTTAAGTCACCAATGGTGAAAAGCTATGTAAATGTGTATTTCAATTTACATAAAGAAACTGATCATTTGTATGCTGTTTAACATGTGATTTGTTTTGTTTTTTTAGTCCACTTACTGCAAAACAATTATCGAACATGCCACAGCAGTTCAAAGAAGTATTCTTGCTGTTAATCTGGATCCTGCAGCTGAACATTTTGATTATGAAGTTATGGCTGGTAAGCTATAAATCGAATCAAAGTCACTACAGTAAACAAAAAGTCAGAGACTCCCAATAGAGAACGTTACTTACTTTTTATTTTATCTGGTGAAACTGAAAACTGCTTTCAATTTTTTTACAGTATAGGTTTTGTTATCTAATATGTAAATAGCTTAGAATCTCGTTAAAATGAAAGTCATAAACAGTTTAATCTTCCAGTTGCCAGACCAGTTCTGATGGAGTAGTATTTTTGATAAAATGTATTACAGCACCAAATTGTGATTTGTACGTGGTTTGCACAAAAACTTGAAAAAACTTTAAAATTGATATATTTTGTTTAATAGCCATAAAAGAAAGTTTTGATTTTAAAAAAAAATTGATTAAGATTTAAACATTTTTTTTTTCATTGTTTTTAGTATTTTTTGTAATTTTTCCAACTGTTGACTGTTGTTAAACATTAAAAAAAAATTTCATTGCCAGATAACTTGTTTATCACCCATAGCTAGTCCAGCCTGTCTGCCTTGATGGGCTGTGGCTCACACAGCCTGCTACTGAAAAGTTTAATTTGAAGTACAAAGAAAAACAGCTCATTTTGGAAAAATTTTGTAAAAAAAAATTGTATTACAATAGAAATACATTTTGTTTCAGTCTTTCTCTTAAGCTAATATTATAAAAATTTCTAAAATTAAATAATTCACATTAATTTTTAGTTTTGTTTATTCAAGTACTAACTATATAGAAATGTTTAGTTCAGTGAACATTGCTCTATCTTCCATTTTAATGCTGCAGTGTTATCAAAAACCTCAAGTTATTATGTGCATTGGAATACTTCAGGCATCTGCTCTCTTTCAGCTTATTGCTGATTGTCTAATTTTTGGTTGAGAACCCATGATTAAACCATATAATCCTTTTATTTCTCTAAACTTTCCTTTAAAACTTTTAAACTTTCTTTTTTCCATAAAATTAACTACATCATCAATAATGAACAATAAACTTGAAAATGTTGAGGAATTTACTTTTTTTCAATAATGCAAAATTTTAAGGATGTAAGATGATAAAACCTTCATATTCCACAGTTATATATATTTTTTTGCATTTATATCTTAGATGTTACTTACCACATGGTAAATAATATACTGAAATAGCATGGCATGGACTGGTGGTTAGTGTACCAGAATGTAGGCCCTAAAGGGAATCATGGTTCGTGTTCTGTTTTTGAAAAAAAACAAATTGTGTTCTGCACTTTGTGGACATGGGTATGTTATTAGAGGAATTGTCAGAGATCTCACGATCTCTCTCTAGACAGTTCAATAGTATGGATGGCCAATGCAGATAGTCCTTTTATAGATCTGTATAGCTTCGAGCGAATATCTGAAACAAACTTCTCTCTTCCTTTTTTCCTGCATACTTTATACACTACTGATTCCTTTATAGATGATTTAAGCAGAGTGTTCATGATGAGCAAACAAAGTTGAAATGGGCAGTAACTGCCTAGTTCAGAAGGAAACTTAAGAGAAAGTCTTGGAAGACTAAACTACAAAATTATCTCGTGTAAAGGACGACATTTTGAAAGTATTTGGTCTTTAGGTCAGCTTTTACTGGTTTTTGCAGGAGTTTATATGGTATTCAGAGGATTCAAATGTACAGGATGTGATTTGTTGGTGGAACTAGTTTGACCAGTGGTAACCACAAACTGCTGATTTTTAAGCCAAAGCCTGTTTAGTAATGGTTTCATCATGTTCATGTAGAAAGATTCTCTTTTGTAAAGTAGTCCTCTGAGACTTTTCAAGTGACTTTCTGAGCTATACTACGGCCAGCTATTGTGCAGAACTCGGTATAATGTGGGTCTGTCGTGGACCCCAAAAATTTTCATTTACATTTATCCTTTCAGAATGTATTTCCAGTCTTTATTGTGATGTTTCAAATATTGTTGAAGTATAAATGCTCGACAAATGACAAAATTCCACCAGCTTAATACTCATCAGCACTCAACAAACAATTTAATAAAATGAAACATAATTTATTGTTAAACCTTTTTCATTTCTGGTTACAGTTTATTTGAAAATGTGAATTAAATAAATATGTTATTTAATATTCACAAAACTGTGTTCTTTATTAACTGCTGGATTATTGTTTATGCCTTCATAGTTAGAATTAGAATCAGCCAATAAGATAGCAGCCTTGTGACTAACTAAGAGGCTTAGCCAATGAAATTTCCCCAATGTAATTAACTGCAGTTTTTCTCTGTATAAATATGGGTAGAAATTAGTATAGAGCCATCTGTACTTATACTGATACCCATAAATTAACCAATGTGAAATTTATTTGAATTGTCCTCATTTTATTACCAATAGTCTGTTTGTTTACATCAGATTATATGGTTTATATGTTGAAGAGGCTGTTTTAATCAGTTGATCTGTAGTTGTGTATTATTCTGACTACTGGCTGGTGCTTTTAAAAGGACCTCGTTATAATGTGGTCTCATCTATAACGAGGCTTCATGATGTGAACCCTGTAGACCTCATGAAAGTGGGGCCCTCTGTTGGCAGTTGGTGCTCTTTTCAACTTTGTTTACATACAGCTTGTTTAATTTTAGCATTGTATTTCTTTTTTATTGGTGGACTGAGAGTTTGAATTATATTTTGCATTTGAATACAAAAATAATGTATAAAAAATACATAGTAATTTATGTTTCAGTACTTTTTTTTTTCTCATCTCATTCAAACAAATTTTCTATTTAAAATTTACCCTTAGCAAATAACAATTTCTGTATGACATGCACTTGTAGTCAACAGTAATTTGTATGCTTTTGTTAAACTTTGCTGTATTACTAGAGTGAAAACATGTTTTTATAATAAATGTTTCTTTTGGGGCGTGCATCTTGTTTTTCAGATATTCGTGAACTGATTCATCTTGACGATGCTATGGAAGATGAGGAGTTACGGTTTGGTCCAAATGGAGGTCTGGTGTTTTGTATGGAGTAAGTCATCATTTTAAGACATTTCGAAACTATTTTATTCAATTATTTTGTTTTTTGACCTGACAGTTGTATTTTGCCAATGTAGAAATTTTGCTTGAAAGGGCTTGTTGCAGGAAAGTTCTTTTTTAGAGGTAGATTATCAAAGATGATAAGTGAGCTACAGTAACTTAAAAGTTCATTTGTGTTTCACCTGCTAATTGTGTTGCTATTTTTGCTATTTGACTCGCATTCAAATTTTTATTGAACTACTATTTCATGAATTTATGTCAATAACTTTAATATGAAACAGTAGATTATAATTCAAATTTCAGAACTATACATTACTCAGTTTGTTAATTTAAAAGTAAATATTAAAAAACACTGATAAACATTAATTTTTGTGTGTCACATGGTATGTTGAATACAGCACTGGTTCCAATTAGATGTATGTGAAGTCAAAATACTAAGTCTATAGTTTCATACAAATTAGAAACTCAAATTACAGATGTTGACAAGCTAGAATATAAAATAAGAAAGTCTTATCTTTTCTATTTGCTAAGATATTGTTCACGTAATACATTAAACACAGTGGCATCCTGCTCACCTACTTAGATTTTTGGAAATGCTCCCTTATATACACTTACTTCTATATATGACATGAATAACCAATCGGAAGCTCAGAATGTCCCCCTAGTGTTTTATAAGCCTTTCTAACATACCTAACACCATTTCTTTCTTTTAAATCAAGATTTCAAAGAGGTAGGTTGTGTCTTTAGTCTGCTCAAAATTTCATATCTTTTTAGACCTAAATACAGCTTATTTACTAAGCTTGATAAATTTTATTTATTCAAATGTATATATAAAACCTAAAAAAATATATTTTGTTTCATGTCCTCCACATGCAAAATTTTAAAGGCTTAGCAACCTACGTCAAGCAGCATCCGAGTACAAAAGTCGTAACTAGAAGAGATAATTGTTTGCTTTACTTTAAGAACTTATTTCAAAATATCAATATAATCTATGTGTGTATATATATAATGTATAATAATTGAAATGTGACTGTATTTTATAAAATACTCATCTACTATAACACAGCCAAGACAAGTTACTTTGTACAGACCAAAGGTCACCTTTATGTTATTTGATATGGTAACATGAGTGCACGTGAGCCGCATCATTGTAGCTTCTGTATTGTTAGCCAGTCATTGCTGAAAGATCAGTATAATAAATATATATATAAATGCATAATGTTATGAGATGTAAGCTATTTAGTCTAAACATTTGTGTTTTCATTTATATAATTTGTGTTCATTCTAGAACGAAAGAGGCATAATTTATATTTAGTTCCTAATTTTTTATGGTATTTGCGAGATCAGTCAAATTTACTGAAAATAACAGATAAAATATAAAGTTTTTTTTAAGAAATGTTTGATAACTATCCAGACATTATAAAGATTTTGCGTGTGAAATTTCGATGCATAAAAGTATTTTTAATCTTAAAATGAAAATTACTTCGCATGATAGACTGGTAACATGTGAGAAAAAAAAAGGCACAAGAGAAATATTGCTATACAAACCTTAAGACTTAATAAAAAAAAAAAGTAGATATTTTGAGTATGAAAGCATTGTAATGTTTACTGATAAACTGCCAAATTTCATTAACATTTGCTTACTTATTTAAAAGTTATAGCATGAAAACTATAACAAGCACAAAATGGTTACTAAGTACACCTATTTTCTAGTCAAATTATACAGATTATCCACTGGTCAAAACACAGATTACAGCATGTGTTTAGCAAATAATTGTGAAAGGATTACAAACTAGATCTAACTTCACGAGCCTGCCATAGAAAGATTAACAGAATGTTATCAACGTCAATTTGGAGATGTTGATTATGCTGGAGAAAAAGCAGAAAAAGATTCATAGGGTGTGGAATTACATATAGATCAAGAAGATGACAATGAAGAGTATGATACTCAAAATAACAAAGGCAACTGCAAGAACTTTTAGTTCAGTACTGGGAAAGTGAAAACTTGAAACATCCAAGCATTGGTGCTTTTTGGTGAAGAAGAAGAAACAGAAACAGGCACAAAGAAGGAAATAAAGAAGGATTTATGATACCACTATCTGAGCTATCCTAGGCTGTGCTACTGTGTATGCTTTGTAATATATATCACACAGAGTATCATTATTGGGATTGAACTTTAAACTAGCATATTTGTTTGTAAATAGTATAGTTATTAACCTTTAATAATCTATTATCTGTATTTTAATAAAATTCTGTAAATTTGCCTCACATACAAGTTACAAATTGTCAGCAGTGAAAGGGTGAATTTATTTTTTTTTTTCTTTCATAAACACGAGTTTTTTTTTGTACTATCTGTACCTTCCTGTTATAAAAAAAAGAAAAAATCTCAGCTCTTTGGTTTGTTTCATAGTCTTTAGAACTTCCCATTGAATGCCTTTTATCAATGCTACAAGAGCTCTGACTGTCAAATTTCTCACAAAACAAACTGCTACTCAGACCTCCATTTACATGACTATGGTATGAATGGTCTAATTCTTACTCTATCCACTGATATTTAAACTATCTTTATAATTGTCTCCATAGCTGTTTTCATTTGTAAATGATCATACCACTTGACGTGACAAAATAAAATGATGGTAATCAAGCATGAACAAAAAAAATAGAAATGCTTGAAAGTCGGGAAATGGAAAACTTGTTCTCAAGAAATGATATTTCTTTACCAAATTTAAAGCTATTCTTTGAGATGGACAGAAAAATTGTAAAAAACATGTAAGTGCATTGTTTACAGGTGGAACTTCGTGGAGCTGTGCAGAAACGAAAATTTTAACATTTCTTTGATTTTATATTGTAACTTACACTAAATAAATGTTACAAAATGACGGAAAATTTATTCTAAAATATCTCATAGTTACAAATTGTTTAAATAGGGTTAGAATTATTATTTTTAGTTAAATTATGAAATTCATTATTAAATAAAATTGCCTGAAAAATTTGTGACTTCAAAAAAATTTTAATTTTTTTTTAAGTCTGCTATCAAAACTCACAGGGAAATTTTTGTTTTCAACTTCTGACTTGACTGATGTAATCAGCTGCTCAATATATAGGCCCTTCAACAACTGACAGAGAAGTTATTTTGCTGTGATTTTCATATATGTAATGCATTATATTTTAATGAGTATCTTTTACGCATACTTTTTTTATTAGGTATCTCGTAGAAAATTCAGAATGGCTTAAAGAACAGTTGGGTGAAGATTCTGATGATTACATTCTATTCGACTGCCCTGGTATGTGTCATTAAGTTGTATTTTCCTAATTTGGCTGCTGTTTTTTTTACTCTTCTCACCATTAATTAAATTACTACCTTTACTTTGTTGAGATGCCCTGATTAGGGGGAGGAATTTAATTACTTTTATTGTTTGCTGTTGTTGATTAAATTATATTTAATCTCTTGAATTTTAACTTGTATTTTTATTGAATTTTCCTAGTATGCATTTTTGGTGTTGCTATCTTTTGTCTCTCTTTCTATTGATATTAGATGTAAAGATTCTTTATTTATTCTCCTGTAGTTTATTTTCTTTCTTAATTACCACGACATACTTAAAATAAAGGTAAAGAAAGATACCGAAATAATGAATCATGCTCAAAAAGTAATGATCAAAGAAGCTTTCCACATCTACTTAAATGAAAACAGTTATCAACTCAAGTATAGAAGTAAGCAAACTTGTATATCATTTCTACAACACTTGTATAGTTAATCAAAAACAACACCTAGTGGGTGGTGATCCCAATCGTATATATAGTCAAAAACAACACCTAGTGGGTGGTGATCCCAATCGTATTTATAGACAAAAACAACACTTAGTGGGTGTCAACCCCATGACATAATTAGTCAAAAACAGCACATAGTGGGTGTCAATCCCATGATATAGTTAATGAAAAACATATAGTGGGTGTGAATCCCATGATATATTTAGTCAAAAACAACACCTAGTGGGTGTCAACACCATCATATAGTTAGTCAAAAAAACACTTAGTGGGTGTGAATCCCATGATATAATTAGTCAAAAACAGCACCTAGTGGGTGTCAACCCCATGATATAGTTAGACAATACAACATTTAGTGGGTGTGAATCCCATGATATAGTTAGTCAATAACAACACCTAGTGGGTGTCAACTCCATGGTACAGTTAGTCAGAAAGAACACCAAGTGAGTATCAACCCCATGGACTAGGAGATAAACTCATGCTTTGCTTATGATGTGTGAACTAACATTATTGGACAATTTCCTGTTTAAGGAAAAAAAAAACATTTTTTTCCTAATGGATATAGACAGAATTGAATCCTCGACCTCCAGTATATGAAGCATATGCTGTGCCATATAAGCCGAAGCCCAAGGTTTTTTTCACATATGTAGTGGAATACTATACATACGAGAAGGGCATATGTTTAGATAGCTAAATCCTTTAAATAATGTTGTTGTTGTCTTATGTAGTTGGACATGAATGAAACAAAAACATACTGAGCAGAATATGGAATTGTGATATTTAGATTTAAAGTAAAATAGTGTAAAAACGTGGAATGCTTATAAATGAAATATATCTTTGTACACAAAATTTTTTATATAAATACCTTGTCTTTGTGGTTAATCACCATCTTTGACTAAGATCTTGAGGTTTTTTCTTGATCAAACTCTTGATAAAGTGACATTATCAAATAGTGTATATTTAAGATTATGATATCGAGAAGTGTAAAAATTTTATTTTTTTTCCTTCAACGATGATATCAACTCCTTTTTTTTCTTTATACTTCCCCCCAAAGAATTAACAAAGCATTGGGTCTACTATCACCAATAACTGAAATGGTGTAATATTTTATTCCCCTTGCAGGTAAACTCATTCTTCACTTATGAAGCATATTTAAACTTTAGGCCTAATTACTGATTTTTAGGTGCCTCTATTGAGATAGTTGGAAGCATAATAATTATAAAATAGTGAATTTTTAAAATTATGGTAGTGAGAAGTGTAAAAGTCAGCTGTCTTCATGTTTTCTTTTGTAAATTTCTTGTGTGTATATCACATTTATATATCATGTGAAACATGTAATTATTTTCCTTCACACAATATGTTAGCTGCAGAGCATCAAAAATAAATAACATCGTGGCAGTGACTTAAAGTTAATTGCCGTAGATATACAGCAGGTGAACTCGTGCTTTGTGTATGAAGTGCATTTAAACTTTATACCTAATTGACAATTTTTAAGTGACTTTTGGAATTTAAATTGAGCTGGAATGGAATTGTAGACAATTAATTTAATGTGTTTCCTTGCATGTTTGTTTATGTTGCTGAAGTAATGATCTTCAAAGTTAATTTTATAAACATAGTTTTTCTCTCATGTGGAACATTACATGTTAACCATTGTTCACTTTTGTGCACATATATAAACATAAAAGCACCACTACACAATTAGCCTAAAAGAATATTGGGTTTCCATATGAGCTAGCACACATACATGTATGGACTGACTGATACACAGTGTGTAGGTTAAAAAACTAATCGGAAAACAACATGGGGGTACAAAAGATGAATTATACATTTAAACTGATTTTTCAAAGTTAGGCTTTTAATGGTTGGAGATGGCTTGAATGGGTAATGAAGAAAAACTTTAATATAAGTACCCGATGATGACAAAACCTTGTCGAAACGTTGTACCTTTGTTGTTGTGTTAAACTTATCTCCAACCATTATTAGTCTCAAAGTGGGTTCCTCGTCATCAAAAAAGTTTGGCTTTATTTACTAATGTATGGAAGACAAGAGCATATGGTAAATTTTGGTATGGTGGATTAATAGCCTAGGTGGGTCTGTGGCTTTCTTAGTTGAAAATTTTTTCCATGCTAAAAACACCCTCATTGTTTATAGATAATATATATTTACATGTGTGGAAATCAAAAGGCCTTCTATAGGGGTAAATCTAAATGTCATCTGAAAATCGGAGCCAATGAACATGTGAGAATTACTATTAGAATGAAAAAAAAAAGTTGAATGACTTCTGTGTTTCCTCTATGTGTCAGTGTAGTGAAGAAACATTGAATAACTCCTGTACTTCTTCTGTGTCAGTGTAGTGAAGAAACATTGAATAACTCCTGTGCTTCCTCTGTGTATACTGACACATAGAGGAAGCACAGGAGTTATTCAATGTTTCTTCACTATACTGAGTGAAGAAACATTGAATAACTCCTGTACTTCTTCTGTGTCAGTGTAGTGAAGAAACATTGAATAACTCCTGTGCTTCTTCTGTGTCAGTGTAGTGAAGAAACATTGAATAACTCCTGTGCTTCCTCTGTGTGTCAGTATAGTGAAGAAACATTAAATAACTCCTGTGCTTCCTCTATGTGTCAGTGTAGTGAAGAAACAGGACACCAACTTAACATACCTAATTTCACTATCCTATTCAAGGCCAACAAACATTGATCTGTAACTGTTGATTAAAGAAACCCTCCACATCAAACAGCATTCTCCAACCTTATATAACATGCAGTCTTAATTTAAATTGTACGTCTTTTAATATGTATAATAATATTGATGTTTCTCCCAATTTTTGTATATTTTCTTGTTCTAACTTCTCATACTTGCCTTCCATACAATTCTTTTGTGGTTTAATTATTGTTAAATGAAGCATTGTAATTTTAATAATGTCCAGGGTTGGACATATTTTGATTATATTTTGTTAAAATGTTTATCTGTGTACCTTTTTTAAATAAGTAAATAGTGTTGTTCATCATAAGCATTTTAACCCTTTATTTTACCAAATATTGTTTTCCTTTGAACACATCAGTTACAGATATTCTTTTTTTGAATATTAGTTTTATTACTTTTAAGCCACATTGGAGGAAATGTTGTTTTCAGAGAATACTTGAATCAGTCTGGTTAAGTAATTTATTGCTGTGTATTGTGAAACCATTTCTTAAAATTGACATGTTAAATGAATTTCATATTCATAATAGTTATGAATTAAACACTGTTTATGAAATTTGTAACATCTTGTCATTGGTTTCATAACACCGAAGTGCTAGCACTCAACTAATATATTTTTAATTTCTCTTGTTAACTTTAATCTTACGGAAACTTAGGTTACACAGTTTCTTTCAAGTGCTGTAAACAGTAAGACAGTATGTAGATTAGTTGTTGTATTTGTTAAAAAAATTTACTGAAAAAAAAGATAAAACTAACCGAAGAAAAAGTTGCAGGTTAGGTAAACAATGAGAAAACTACTTATTAGAAGGCTGTCTGTCATAACAAGGAAGCATAAAGTATCACTTTACCCTATTCTTCTTTGCGAGTTAAACTTTAATTTAATTAGGAATTGAAACAATTGTTAATGAAGATTGTAAAATTAATTTACCATTTTTGGTTTTCTAACTGTTTGACCTCTAAGAGAACAATTTTTCATAAATTTACTTTTGATACATCACGTATTGCTTTGTATAAAGTATGGTAAGGAGTGCTTATAAGATGAATTTTCAAATTGGATGATCTGATATTCCTTTTAGGCCAGATTGAACTTTACACACACATGAATGTGATGAGAAGGCTTGTGAACATGCTTCACAGCATGGACTTCCAAGTTTGTGCTGTTTTTCTTCTTGACTCACAGTTCATGATAGATGCATCCAAGTTTTTCTCGGGTGTCATGACAGCCTTGGCTACGATGGTCAATCTTGAAATTCCCCATATCAATGTTCTCTCCAAAGTAGATCTTTTAGATCGTCAGTCTCTCAAACAGCTCAGTAGGTAGGTGCCTTTGCCATTTAGTCACTAAAAAAAAAAAGTCAAAATCTAGCTATGTTTCATAAGTTCATCTCCACATATGTATAACAGTTTTTTTTATGGAATATATTTGTTTTGAAACATTTAAAATTATACCAAGGTTATATACATCTGTTAAAACAATCTTGGAGCCTCACGATGTCATTACCGTTCACGTTGCCATGTTTCGTCATGCTCTGTTTGACAAATATGCATATTGACAATAGCCCCCACAGTGTAGTTTCTATTGTAAAAAGCTCTGTCATAAGGCTGTCAAAGCAGCCTGTCATAATCAAAGCACACCCTTCCTCCATGCATGCTTTCCATAAATAATCCATTGCAGAAGGATGACTGTTTTCTAATAGCCTGTTTAAACACCCCAATAATACAAAACTGTATTCTGCATCCAATGGCTTAACTGGCATATCTTTGTATGTATATAGCATGAATACTTATTTCATTCTTCAGCTTCTTGAGACATACAGCAGTTGAACTGATTTTTTTTTCAAGTAATGTGTTCATCTCACTTGTGTTGTTTTCCAAACAGAGATCCTCCATTATTATGTTGTATACTGTTGCCTCAGACATGTGAACAACTTTTGCCACTGACATTTCTTAGTTATCATCTGTTAAAAGATGCAGCAGTTTACTTATCATGGCTGAGGTACATCTTGTTGCAGGTCCCTGTCTGGATGGTCCTGGTTTCCTAAATTGATCCATGCTACTTTGTTTTCCAATGCCATTAAGTAAAAGGGATATTCCTATCTTGGAAATTCTAAATCCAGGATCTAAGCACATCTTTTATGACCTGAGTTTATGAATATTTTGCACCAGAAAGTAATAAATTTTTATGACATCGCACTACCTACGAATCACCTAACTATGTCTAAATGTAGTTTTGACATACATACTATGCCATCACAACTTCATATTGGCTGTGGTTGCAACTTGTCTTGCTGATTTGTAATAATATTCAAAATTGTTTTTATTATAATGTATTCAATCCTCTATCCATGCATCATTTTGCAATTGTTTGGTTAGACTCGGGTTATTGGATTTAGCCAT